CCAGCCGGCAGAAGGAACCGGCGGCCGGGGACTGAGGGAAAGCACACGACTTGTCAGCCCTTCAGTTTGTCAGATCTTTGGGGCACTCCGTTAAAGCGCAGCACATCAAACGTTACTTCAGTTTTTTTACCAGCTCAAAGCAAGCCAGAGCCCAGAACGCGGTACCCAGGGGTATCTTTAGGATGCTGCTGTGCGGGGGGTTTTGTGAATGAACGGGCACGCTCCTGAAATATAGAGGTGTCTGTTAAATGAAGTTGAGATTTCTTAAGCCGAGTCTAACTGGGGGAATTCAGGCAGGCTGCCTGCAGTCGTGACCTGAGCAGTAGTCCTATCTGTGCACGTAGCTGTATTGCAATATTGTATTATTTTCTCCTTCTTCAGTAGGTGTCATCCAGCTAAAAATAAGTCCAGATTGTTAAAATCAGCACTGGCTATTTGCTGATTGCAACCTAAATGTGTGGAATGTAAAGCTCACTAAAGATTCACAAACTCATGGCTTCATAAAGTGTGCACAAAACCTTCTCTTTAGGGGCCAGATCAATGTTAAGGGACTCTTGCCTGTGCCTGGATTTTAGGAGTGGGCTGTGTTGGGTGAAAAAAAAAAAACAACTTTCACTGAAAGGACTGACACCTAACAGAAGAAAAAATAGTAGTCAAGAAATGGCCAGTGATTATGATGATGTGCACTGTTTTTAAAGTGTACCAGAGAAATAGCCGAAGATGTCAGAAAAGATTTATGCAATGGAGATAGAAACTCTGAGAAATTAAACTACTTCACTTTCTAGGAGACGCATTTGGGCTTTATGAGTTCATCATCTCAATATACCTGACAGTAGGGATGCATTAGCAGCATTGTCTGAGTTATCTGGAAATGATAGTGGTTTTTTCTGAGCCCATATAAACTTTACTAAAAGTTCAGAAGACTTTCCTTCAGCTCAGTAATGTCATTCAACATAATTACATAGCTGGCATCTTCTCCAAGAGGGGGAGGGGGGGTGCGGGAATTTAAAAAAAAAAGTGTTAGAGAGTAGAGAGTACTTTGCATAATTTTACAAGGAGCTTGAGTTTTGCTGGAAGCCAGTGTGATTTAAGGTGCTTATAAAAAGCTGCTTTTAAAGATTTTATCCAAAGCAGTCAGGATGAGATACTGAGATTTTTAGGACCTGCTCAGCACCTCTGAAAATAAAGCCTGCGAGGCATTAGTGTTTTGTTCTTGAATGTGACCTCTATACGGTACAGTCATCCATTGCGTAATGAATTTTTGGCTATAGTATAAAACAATGCTGAACAGCTTATTTTTATTCCCAGGGAGTTAATTGGCCATACATGTTTGTAAGGCATGTAAACAAACAGAGCTACAGCCTAGAAATGCAGCAGGACATATAAGGACCTGGAATGACTTGCACTCACTGTGCTCCTGTGAAACCACTTGCAGACACAGTCATGCTTTAAAATCACCCGTATTAAAGACCTACTTCTGTTCCCACTGTGCCTGGGGAGGTGTGCGGGGGCTGTTTTTAATTTCAGCAAGAGCCCCGCTTGACCACTGTCTGAAACACTCACAAGCTCTTTGCAGAGGGAGGCAGTCATCTCCAGAGCTGCAAAAGATCACAGAATCACAGAATCATAGAATGTTAGGGATTGGAAGGGATCTCGAAAGATCATCTAGTCCAATCCCCCTGATCAACCCTCTCAATGCTCAGAGGGGGAACAACTGAGAAAATTAAAATGGTGTTATTTTATAATTTTTGTTTTAGGCCTTCCTGCAAAGTTTTCTTTGCCAAAGACCCTCTGAAGATAGTGCGTGCTCAGGGACAATATATGTTTGATGAGAAAGGAGAAAAATACTTAGACTGCATCAACAACGTTGCACATGGTAAGCCATTCAGCTTGTAAGACCGCTTCTATTCCTTAATTTCCAATAGGGATCAGAACACACTTCTTCCAACTGATGCTGTTCACAGTGCTTCTCTGAATCTCCTTGTGTCGTTCAATAACTGACTGCTTGCTAGGAATAACTATTTTTTTTCTTTAGTTGGCCACAGTCATCCATACGTGATAAAGGCTGCAACAAAACAGATGGAACTGCTGAATACAAATTCCCGGTTCCTGCATGACAACCTTGTTCAGTACGCGCAGCGTCTTACAGCCACCCTGCCCGAGAAACTCTCTGTTTGCTATTTTGTTAACTCTGGGTATGTCTGAATATTTTTTTTTTTCCATTATGACTATTTTGATCCTGTTTGAGATGGACACAACAGCTTGGTCCAAATCTTACTAAGTAGGCCTTAGGAATAAGCAACAAAAATATTGCCAGTACTGACTGGAGGATCCTTCCTATTTGCGCTGTCATATTTAGTGTGCTGGCTCAATGCAAGGGAGCCAAAACAATAAACTGGTCTGCTGAATGCTGTGCAAAAACAGGGGGGAAAGGCAAGAAAAGCAAATTAGACTGCAAATTGGTCAACGTCATGCACAGATTAGTGAATGATATCTGTAAATTGACATATGACCTTGGGAACACATAGTCTTTTTAGTAGGGCCTGTAGTGACAGGACAAGGTTTTAAACTAGAAGAGGGTAGATTTAGACTAGATGTAAGGAAGAAATTTTTTACAAAGACGGTGGTGAAACACTGGAACAGGTTGCCCAGAGAGGTGGTAGAAGCCCCATCCCTGGAAACAGTCAAGGTCAGATTAGACAGGGCTCTGAGCAACCTGATCTAGTTGAAGATGTCCCTGCTCACTGCAAGGGGTTGGAACTGGATGACCTTTAAAGGTCCCTTCCAACCCAAACCATTCTATGATTCTTTAGGCAGTCCAAGTAGTCTGTGATGACTTACATAGCCAGAAGAGACAACCTGCAGGGACTTGTGAGCAGAGAGGCTGCTACAGGTCAGGCTGGAAGTTTGAGTCTTTGTCCAGGTAGCAGACTTGTGTTCTCTGCTGCCTGATGGCACAAGCACTGGGGAGGACAGAGGGTGCACTGTTGCTTTTTGAGGGTTTGTGACTGCATCGCACTCTCAGCTGCAAAGCAGCCTCATTTGTGCTCAGAGGTGGTAAATATCTACAAGCAAACTGGGGGAGGGAAAGAAAGCATCTCTTTGTTTGGTGTTTATACAAAGAACTGTTTTTTCTGTGCCCTCTTACATGGCATTTACAGTCTCAACCTTAGCATTGTAATCTGTATAGTAACAGAGCCTGCTGTGTTCATTTGTTATATCCATTAGTCCTGTGCCTCCTCTTTTGTGTCAGAATACCATTTTAACTGGAAGCACTTCCTCACTATTTTGTGTCTCTGTCTGTTATTATGCAGGTCTGAAGCAAATGATCTTGCTTTACGGCTGGCTCGGCAGTACCATGGGCACCAAGATGTGATCACCCTCGAAAAGTAAGTACATGGAGTAGCTTATGTGAATGCAGCCAGCAACTCCTGTCATTACTTCAGAAGCAGCTTTGCAGCAATCCCCTGCTGTTTGTACTCCACTGCCTGCTGAAAGAAAAGCTTTGTTGCTTTCATAATAGAACAGGTCAGGAAATCCCTTTCCACATACAGATAAACACAAGTTTTTAAAATCTCTGAAAAATAGGCTTGTTGGTTACCCCAGAAGGTCAACCACCTGTTACAGGGCATTTCCCACAGAGACTCCCAAAGCGATTCAGGCCAGAGACTTGAATGTTCATTTGAAACATCAGTGAGTGGTCTGGCCACTGGGCTGCTCTGAGAAAGGTCTTTCTGTTTGTCACGCTCTTCTGGACACACTTCTTTCTGTACAAATAAATATTCAGTAGTCAAGAAGAAAGATCCTGTAGCTCTGCAACAGTATTGCACCAATGCTCAGCTGTCCTCCAGTGAACACAAGTATACACACAAAACCAAGCAGCTCCAAAATCAGGAGGCACTGAGAGGGGAAGGTGGCTGACCACATCCCTGGGTTTCCCTATCCTAGATGCAGCTGTAGTGTTGGTTACACTGCTGTAGGGCTGCCTCGTCTTCTTAGGTTGTGATTAGAAAGCCCAACCAGAGCAACTGCAAGAGCACATGTCTCTATCTAAATGACATGAAACTTGTTTGACTCAGCCATGCTTAGATCCCCATTAGCCATACTTGACTCACATGGCCCAGGTTTAGAGCCACTGACAGTAGATTCCATCAGGAGAGGCTGGAGCTGGCTCTGTCACTGTGTCATTGCAACGCCTTGTCTTCCTGAACACCACAGGGTATTTCCCTGCCCATGTCCCAGGGCTCTGTAGGCTTTTGCTATAGCTACCACCTCAGTCATGGTGGGCTTTCTGTCCTTTGTTTGTGTCCATTGGCAGATTCTGTTGACTGGCTAGTAGAAAGGTGCAAAGAAGACAGAGTTCAGAAACATCCTCTCTACCCTATGTGTGTGCTACTATGAGATTTTGACACATCTTTGGTTTGATTTGAGGTGCCCTTCACTTCAAGTTTATGGGTGAACAGAATTGTTTATTCCCTGAATGAAGCTGCTACATGCTTTAGGTTCAAAAGACTGTTTCCTCATTTCTAAATCAATCTGGCCTCAGTAGTAACCAGCTTTAGCATACTCTGCAATATGAAGCTTTTATATTCAAACAATATTCACCCTCATCTTGAAATTGGCTTCTGCCAAACAGTCTAGTCGGTAGGGCCTTCGGGGCAGGTAGCGGTGTGCTGCTGCTGCATAAGATCCCCATCTTCCAATGCAGTGCACACTCGTGAGAGTCTTTGCAATGGTGTTGGGGTCTAACTTGCAAATTTTGGGTTGGCCAGAGTGGGGCCCACAGGTTGGAAAAGAGGGAACTGGACTCACCATTCAACTGCTAGGTAAGGCTGCTAGGGCAGCCACCTTAGAGGCGGTCCAGGGGACATCATCTTGGTCAGTCCCCTTGCTGGCACTTGATTTTATGCAAGAAAAAATCCTCCTGATTCCAGTTTTACTAATGAATTAAAGTCAACAGCAATTTCATATTACCTTTGAGAGAACGACTGCGTAAATTAAATCAAGATCCTTTCACAAACAGTGCTACTGTGTTGCAGATACAGTCACTTATTCTGGATTATTTATGGGTATGGTTTTAAATTCAGCTCTTCTATATATTTGGTGAAAAGTGACTTCGATATTTAACACTTATGCAGTGCTTACCATGGCCATGTTACATCTCTGATTGACATCAGTCCCTATAAATTTAATCAGCTGGGAAAGGACAGCAAGAAGGAGTTTGTGCATGTGGTAAGTGTGGTTTTTTGCTTTTTGTCATTTTTCTGCCTGTTATACAGCATATTGAATTAGTCACTTCTGGTGTAAATATACGTCTGTTTTGCTGATGCTAGAGTCGGTGTTTTGGCTGTTTGTCGGTGAATTAAATACAGCAAAATTGTTTGCTTTTGGATTTCTAAGAAGGTATTCAGCTGTGAGACTGATTTCCTTCATAGTGCTGTAAGTTTCCTGAGTCACTGCACTGTATAGTTACAGAGTTTGAAGAAATTAGTCAATGTCTGTTGTGTTGGTTTGGCCAAGGATATGCAGGACTTTTGAGTCTACTTCCAAAAACTGGAAAGGCAGACCCCACGAGTTCACATACATCTGGGTATGGAGCTCACAGACATCCAACTGAGTGGGATACTGTTTGATCTTCAGTCTGAACTTGTATACCTTACAAAGACAAAAATTATTCTCAGCCCAGAGATGTCCACCAAGCAGGTCTTTCCTACCTAGATCTCCTTGTGTTAACCACATTGGCAAAGCAGTAGCCACCTTTTTATAACACTTCATTTCTCTTATTTACTGAACTTCTCCCAATACTGTTTTTAGAGACTTGAAGGTCAGACAGATTTGTACTGTGACTAGGACGCTGGAAGGGAAGTGACAGACTGGAAACCCCCATTCTCCAGTTGCAGAAATGGATCTTTCTGCAAAAATCTGAAATAAGAGGATGGATGAGGACTCAGTATTGTGTCTTGGGGAAGAGGAGGGACAGTCCTGGAAGGAAGATGAAGTAGATGATGGCTATTTCAACAGTTGTATCCAGTAATGTTGAACACATCACAGGCCTGGATTGAGTTTAAGCTCCTGTAAGAAGTTTTGCAATTCCATGCAGAAATTCAGGCTATACAAACTCCCATTATCTATCTATGTGGAAAGACAAAAATGCAGAGCAATAGAAAAAAAAGTATAGGAGGCTGGGCTTTAAAAAAAGAAAATAAAAATTGGTCTTTTCAGGCTCCTTCTCCAGATATCTACAGAGGGAAATATAGGGAAGACCACCCAGATCCAGCAAGTGCTTATGCTGAAGAGGTGAAAAAGATTATTGAAGAAACACAGAAGAATGGACGCAAGGTGTGTGTTTTGTGCTCTAGAAATGCTGTGGCTTCACGTATTGTGTGGCATGGGGATATGAAACAGGCAACTGAGGACGTGTTTCTTTACTGTTTCCTTTGTTTCCCTCTGCCCTTCATTTTCCTATGGTGGGTTCTGTGTTCAAAATGGGCCATTTTTCTACCTGATGCTTTTATCATAATTTTTCTAGGCGTCAATGAAAGAATCAATAATACAGTTGTAAATAAGCAGATACAACCTAAGCAGTTTAGTTTCCTATTTTATGCATTGAATCAGTAGATTGTAAATATCTTAGGGCAAGTTTTGAGGTCAGCCGAGAAATTACATCACAAATTCTAGCAAAGACGTATAAAAGTCTCCAGGAGGTGAAGAAAATGTGCTAGATAAAATCTTGATACTACATTTCTGAGTCTAGTAGCTTAAGATAACTTTGGAGTCATCTAAAAAGGTAAACCATTCAATCATATACAATATGACCTTGATAAAAACAGTCAGTTTCTCAGCAGGTTTACCTAAAATGTGTATTAAAGTTTTGTATGTTGACATTAGCATTTTGAGACATGTAGGGCTTGATCTAAAGCCCACTGAAGTTACAGAACACTTCGGTGGAGACTAGAACAACATGTTCCCTTCTAGTCCAATGGACTTGCATCACTCTTCTTTTAGTTTCTTCATCAACTTTTTTTTTCATTCTCTACTAACGGATAGTTTTGTTGTTTTTTTTCCTTGTTTCCTTTCTTTTGCATATTTCTTAGGTTTTGGTGACATAGACCTGTGGCAGGACAAGTTGTGCTAAAGGCTAAGCCTCACATGCTATGGGAAGCTTCGTACTCTTTGGCCGTAGCATGCCTCTTCAAATATAGTGTATGGTTCTTTACACGTTACTGCTCGGCCTTGTTTCCAGGAAGACTGCACCAGCCCAGAGACACCTCTTGATGCTCAGGGAGGGGTTCACAAGTGGTGTGGGGATGCAATCCCTTAAATAGCAGACTTATGCTGAGACTTTGGGGTAATATTGTATCTCTGTTGCATAGACCTCTGCTGTTGACAAGAAACAAATTTTGATGTTCCAGTGTATCTGATCCACTGCTCTTACCCTTCCTGACTTGAAATAACTTTCTTTTTCATTCCTAGCGACTGGAATTATTTCACCTGTAGAATTTTTCTCCCCTTTTGTCAAGTGCCTCCCGCTGACATTTTAGTTGTGTAGTTATTTGCATTAGGCACGGGTGCCCAAAGCGTAGCCTCAGGTCATCCTACAGTTCAGCTTCTACCTACCTCTACCTGGTGTTCAAGATTGAACAAAAAAGCTGATCGCCACATATCCCCATTGCTGGAGAACCTTGGCATTAAACAAGTCTCATTAATCTCTTGGGGAAAATGACACACTGTTGTGTGTCTCCTGTAAACTGAAATTCGTAAATAAATTTACAGAGCTCCCAGGAGCCTCATCCAACATCCATTGATACCAGTTAAGTGTCTTCCATTTCAACAGCTGGAGGACTAGGACTTAACGAGGTCCTTGTATTCCCATCAGGTTGCTAAGGTGGCCCTGGCTAATGCAAATTTGGGCACCCCAGATTACAAAATGAATAAATTCTTTAGCCATAGCTGTTCTCAAGAGCCCTCAGCTGCCCAACACATTGCGTGATTAAATTAAGGTACACATTTAAATGTTGATTTCTAGACTGTTAGAAGTTTGTGCAAAGGCCAAGTTAGATGAACACAGCTCTCACCTGAGTTTGTTTTTTGTAGATTGCTGCCTTCATAGCTGAATCCATGCAGAGCTGTGGAGGCCAAGTAATTCCACCTGTGGGCTATTTCCAGAAAGTGGCAGAGTACGTACATCATTTCAAAAGGGCATAACTGTAAAATTAACCAAAGAAACAGGTTTTTCACTATAGGCTTATCCAGTCAGTTCAGCTATCGCCCTCTCTTGTTCTCGGCTATCTATGGTACCTTTCTACTTTTTGAAGAGTGTGATTCCACTTCTATTTATTATGGAACATCAGCTGACTAATTATTTTTAGCGGGATAACTCTCTTTCCTTTTCTATCTTTAATCCTCAGGCCATAAGTTTTGATGAAAGATGAAGTTGAACCATCATAGATATAACCCTGCAGTACCATTACAGTACCCCTATTTTGCATCAAAATATCAGAATTTTTTTCTTAGCATTTAGCAATTTTTTTCCCCTAACCTGGTCTCACATTGAAGAATTTCTGTAACACAGACTCACTTGTCCTAGATTGCCTAACCAAGATGTGTACTGCAGCACTAGTAATTCAAGCTATTTTATTTGTTTTCAGGTACGTGCATGCGGCAGGTGGAGTGTTCATAGCTGATGAGGTCCAAGTTGGCTTTGGCAGAGTTGGGAAGCATTTTTGGGCATTCCAGCTGCAAGGTGAAGACTTTGTGCCTGATATTGTCACCATGGGAAAGCCCATTGGTAATGGTCACCCTATGTCTTGTGTGGTCACAACAAGGGAAATTGCTGAAAGTTTTGGTGCCTCTGGATTGGAGTATTTCAATACAGTAAGTTCATAGGTGAAGGTTTGCCTTTTTTTCTTTTGGTCTGCATTTATCAGTTAGAAGTTGTTTGGGTGATTCAGCTGACATTTGCATCCATCACTGCATCACATAACTAAGAGCTCGAGTCAACTACAGTCTAATATCTAAAAGCAAGTGGAGAAGCTTTGAAATACACTGTACCAAGTGGTATATCTTAATATGGACCAGCACTAGCTCTCTGGCATGTCATGCATCTCAGCTAACATCCATACTGATAAATTCTTCCTTACTTCTCTCTCTCTGTCTTCCCTCTCTGAAATGCTGGCCAAGTAAAATTTCACTTTCTAGGAGGCTCTGTGCCCATGGGGCTCATGACCTGGCAGACCTTGCTCACCTAACAAAACAGTGACCCTTTATCAGGAAACATCTGAGCCGTGTGCATGCCACAGATGAACAGTTTTCTTCTTGTTTACTGAGTCCTCTTTCCACTTCTGTGATGGAGCCTTCTTCCCAGCTGCCACAAATCCCTTGGCTTTCAATGGAGTTTATACCCTCTGGTTCAAGAAATATCAGATTTGTCACCCACTGCTCTTCACAGGAGCATTTTGCCTACACATGCAGTCAGCAAACATGAAAGCAGCTTGAACGCTTCAGCTGTGAAACCTTTGAATTACTGAAATCCAAAGCGGCCACTTACACTGCCCAAAGTGGGGGGACAGCGCTCTACAGCCTGCATGGCACAAAATCCCCACCTCTTCAAGCTTTCTGCACAACATACCCAACAGGAGAGGGCAAGTGAAAACTACATAGATAGACACAGATTAATGTTTCTGACGGGTTTTGTTTTCCTGTTTGTCTTTACTATCAGTTTGGAGGCAATCCAGTGTCTTGTGCTATTGGTTTGGCTGTGTTGGAGGTAATAGAAAAAGAAGATCTCCAAGGAAATGCTACACGTGTAGGAAATTATCTCCTGGAGTTGCTGGCTGAGCAAAAGGAGAAACATCCCTTAGTGGGAGATATCAGGTGGGTGCCTTACAGCAATGTCAGAGAAGAAGAGTAACTGTGCTAGAAAGATTGGTGTGAAGGGAACACAGAAAAGTTATGCAATGATTATGCTACATCTCTTCTTTAAAATGGACTACCCAAAATTGATATTGTAAAGCAATATATTTTTCAAAAAAGTTGTCATCCATCTGTTTAGTTAAGTATAAGCACAGCCAGCAGAAAAGTTCTGGGAGAGAATAGGAGAAAGAGCCATCCATGTGCAATAGCCCAGTTGTCAGTACAGTGCTGAGATGATGGATACCTTGTTCAAATCTCTGGTCCCTTTCATTTGGAGATGTTAGTGTGGGCTTTCTTCATCTCACATTACCACCATGACAACTGCCTTCAGGTTTTTTCGGGGGGGAGGTTGAGTTGTGGGGTTTTTTTAGTTCTCGTTTTTGATTATTTGTCTTCCACAGCTCCCTCACTTGAGGTTTGCAGGATGAGAGAGAAAGAAAATTACTCTATCATTCTTAACTGGCTACGTAGCCTTAATAAGCCAGCTAAATTTATTTATCCAGAAATATCTGGTATACCACTTGATCATCTGAAGTAGCCAGTGCCAAAATATGACCAAGAGAAAGTCTCCTCTCTTTCCTGCTCCTTCCCCGCTTGCGCCCCAGGGAAAGGAATTGCAGTTGTTAGAAATGGGTTTTGCATTTGCAGCAGAAGGCTTGGGTTATTGACACTGGATTTCACTTGTCTGTATTTTTTTTCTCTACTCCAGGGGTGTTGGATTGTTTGTTGGAGTGGATCTGGTGAAAGATCAACAAAAACGAACACCAGCCACAGCTGAAGCCCTTCACCTTATTTACAAGTAAATGGTTTTTAAAGACTATGTGCCGTGATCAGACCTTTGTAATATTCCGCAGCAGTTAGTCATTAATTTCAGTTTAAATTTGTGTAGCTTTGATAACACAGTACTAGAAAAAGAAAAGTTTTAAAATCTAACTCAGTGTGAAGGGTCTGACAGGACACAATACAGTTTTATAGCTGTGTCTACCACAGACTTTTCCTCTTTCCGCAGGCTGAAAGAACATCAAATCCTTCTTAGTGCAGATGGACCCCACAGAAATATACTAAAATTTAAACCACCAATGTGTTTCACAATGGAAGATGCAAAACACGTAGTGGAGACAATTGATGCACTTCTCACAGGTATGTATGCTTTAGTGCTCAACAGAATACTCTTCTTTGTTCATTTCCAGACGACCTGTTGGAAACACCAGCTGCCATAATCTAGGCCATTACATGAAAGGAAATGTAATCAATCACATTTCTTACCACTTGTCCAAATTGCTGTTCTTAATGCCAATTATTATAAATAAATAAAAAACCCCATATGTAATTCATTCAAACTTTTAGAGAAAGTCCTGTTCTTGATCCTTTCTCTCACAGACTCATCGTTACTACTAATTTCTGGTTGCATATGCTGTATGTTAAGGGGCAAATATATTAATTCAGCACAGGCCTGAAGGACACTGCTGAAGCACGGGTGAAACTTTCCATAATGTGCTAATGTGCACTACCTTTTTTTTTTTTAACTGGCATACTGAAACACGATTGTCTCACTCAAATTTAGCCTGAAGGTTTTCAAGGTCTGTTTATCTTCAATCCAGGGGAAAATAACATCAGGTATACTATTAGCATAAGGACGCTCTCAGCCTATTCTACATTGAACGTTCCCATCTCTTGAGATTATAACAACTGGAGTTAGGCTAGCATGAACCTCCTGGACAAAGGCAGAATTCAGGTCTGAAAGTTCTATCTAAACCCACATGATACAGCCAAGCTGCTAATTTCATTCTTTTCTCTAAACACCCCCAAGCTACACATTCCTGATACATTAATCACATTGCCTCAGAAAAAAATGTTTTAAAAAGTATTAATTATTCTTCAGTTATTCTTCTGTGTGATAAATGCCCAGAGGAATAGCTGATTAGGTATTTTTCACTTCAGCCAGCTGTTAAATTGACTGTATGCTTACTTACCTTACTTACCTTACTTCTTTTTAATTTAATATTTTACTACTTTTTTTAGAAATGGAAGAAGCAACTGGAATGAAGACAGAAAATAATGCATCTACAAATGCACAGTGTAAAATGAAAGTATGGTTTGAATTTTTTTTAACTCTTATTCAGCTAGGTGTTTGGCAAAGCAAGTATAAGTTACTTTGGTAGAGCATTTTTGGTGGTGTGAGTGGTTCTGTACCTTGAAACTGAGCTCAGAACCTAACCTGTTGCTAGAAACCTGAGAAGATTGTGTTACAAATCTAAAAAGAGCTGAATAATACAGACGTACAACGAGAAACAGGTTATAGATAAGCCACTCACCTTATCTGCCTTGTGTGCAAACAAGACCAGCCAGGCTTTGGGCTGCACAAAATTGTGACCTCAACAGTCAACAGTTTTACTAGTTCTAGGTATTGTGTGCTACTGATGGATATTTTGCTTCCTAAGCAAGCCTTTAGCCTGGAAGGTGTCCAAGTTTTCAGAGAATTCCAAGGATTTCTTTTCCACCATGGCTCTTTGAGTATGAATGGCTGACGTGCATCCAAATTAGGACTTATTAGGTTGCAGTCCCACCTTTTTTTTATATAAAATTTCTCACACCTTTAAAAACATATCACCCAGTGTGTTATAGAAAAGCTTGCTGAGCTGTCCATTGGTGAGTTTTTCCAGTGATGCTGTGAATGGTGGGAAGGCAATAATAGCTCAGCTATCTAAGGATGCAGTAGTTAAGGTGGAGACCCTATGGATTATTTGCTGTCTAGAATATACTACATTTGGGGTGCAAGCCTCCTCTTACAGATATGTGTACACATTCAATTCAATCTCTTTCAAGGCTAAGGAGTTGTACCACTAAAAGAGAAGAGTCAGGCAGAGCTACCTAATAGGAACCAAGTCCAATGGCTGCCTGTTGGAAGACATGCCCATGCCTTCACTGACATTTCATTTCTGTTTCAGACAACTGAAGGGAGTTCTCAACCAGAAGGTGCAAATGAAAGCATCAGCCATATGAATGGAGCTGCCTGCAGACAAGAAAATGGGCTATATTCTAAAACATGCTCAGTGCCAAGTAAAAGAATAACAACATGAAAAGGGAAAGTTTCCTCCTTCAGTTTGAATTTGTGTCTGGCTTGCTTTTGAGATGAAGAGTGCAATAATTCGAGTCCAAGGATCTGTTTGAAGCCTAGTCCTACCTTCCATAAACTGGCTGAATTCCTATTAGCTTCAGTAGGAGTTTAAAATACCTTTTCAGATACATGAGAACTGCACCATGTGGCTTGAACTCTAGCTGTGACAGAACAGATAAGTGATACACAAATACCTCGGTGCTGATGGCAGGCTTGACGTAGACACGCAAACTTGGTGAAATCTGCAGATTTACCTGTATTACACAGAATCTGAATTGCTTAACCACCATACAAGCAAATGCCAATCCTATTAAGTTTAAAATTATATGATTAACATGTTATTTTTTATGATATTTTAAATTTCAATATGTAATATTGAGATGTTAATTACTTCCCATGTTTTAATGGCTGAATTCACAAAACAATGCTTGAGAGAGAAATCATTATTATCTTCCAATGTAACTTAGGTCCTGTGGACCATATTCCCAGCTGATGTAAATTGGTGTAGCTTTGTTAATGTCAGTGACGCACTACCAAGAATCTACCACTGTGTGTGTAGAGACACGATGTTTATCTGTGTAAAGCAGGGCATCCTCACTTTATATCCAAAGAAAATGAAGATTCTGGATCCTAATTTTCTATGGATAAAGCAACTTTTATAGACAACTATTTATATAGAGTAAGATTTTATTATTTTTTCCCAAAAGTTTATATATTAAACCCTCAGTCCAAAAAACATGCAAGTAGAGTATATATCATTTCAGACACAGGTTGACTGAATTTAACCTGAGAGTCTCTCAAAATGAGGTTCCCAGGGACAGCCCAGCTTGTATTCCCATGGATTTTAGTTGTTTTGACTGTCGTGGGAATTACTGCCTGATCCTGTTGTAGCAGTGCTGTTACTTTTTGTCAGTGATGCTGAAGAGTCATGTGGGATCCTGACACATAAATGGCTATGCTAACATTTGATAGATTACTAAAACAAGAGGACCACTGCATAAAACATGGATGCAATCACTTTGCAGCCATTACCTGGCTTTGCTGCTAGGCTTTAGACTCACTTACCTCCTTGTCAGTGCTAAATTTCAACAAGAGCACTCAGGCCCTGCTTCTCTTTTTTAATACATGCACAACTCTATGCTATGGAAAACACAGAGGGCTTTACAAATGGTTTGTACTTCAGAAAACAAAAGACAAAATTTATTTCCTTTAACACCCTAAGTTCTGCCTTTTTGTAATTGCTGCTAATGACCCTGATACAACTGAAAGTTGAGCACCTTATCTAATTTCATGTTTTCCACAATTTGCTATATTAAAATTGATGCTTCTGGTGTAACGCCTTCCAACATCCTCAATCTGGCTTATTTTCTTTTTCATGATCCTTGAATAATTCTTCCATAAAAATAAATCTCCCATTTGTAATTATGATGTCCTCCACAAAAAGGTTTTTTTTGGTTTAATTTTATTCTTTAGTAACACCTATTAGATGAGGGAAGCAACCAGTTTTGGCTGGGGGTTGACTCCATGCCAAAGGAGAACTGGCTAGGCTGTGTTTTGCCAAGGCCCTACATGGCCCTCAGCTGTTGGCAGCTCTTACCCTCCAAGCCAGATGTTACCTCAGCTGCCACAATTCAGCCTCTGCTAACCCTGTATCAGGAGGGACGCCACAGGTCTTTTCCAACATGAACTACACTAAGACCTAAACCAACTTAATCTGGTATGTGTCTAAAGGTACAGTTTAGGTCACTCCCTGTATGGAGTGGAGCTATTTACATTTACACCTCATTCACCACATGCAGCACCAGCAGTGTGTGCTTCCCAGCAAGGAAATGCTTGTGCGATTTATTGGAAGAGTTAAGCTCAAAGGCACACAGCCCACCAGTCAATACGATGCACTGACTGTTGTGGCACGTCATTAATATTTAATTTTCAAAAGTATATCAAAGAACTAAAAAAAAAAAACAAAAAACAATTAGCCTAAAATCTGTGAGGAGGTGAAGATTACAATTTGATAAACGTAAGAGGTGTGTGCCTCTACCTCTGCCCTACCTATATCTTGCTTCTGCACACACTTGAAATACATGGAACAACCATTGCTCCAATTTACTAGTGTTTTTCACAAGTCAGGAAGCTCTCTACATATTGGTTCTGCTCATAATGCAAGGTGCCAGTTACCTAGAACAACTAAGTCTTCTATTTTCTTTAAAAAAGAGAGGCTATCACTTCTATGATACACACTGAAAAAACCACTATCATTTAAATGGAGGAACCAATCCAACAGTTACCAGGCAGTGAGCTGGATCTACTAGAATTACTATTACTGTATCGTTGATAATGTTCCCACAGTATCTCAGAGTCCACTCACAAGATTATGCACAATCCCTACTGTGAAGGGTTTACTAATTAGAAGAGACTGACTAAAGCATGGGAGAGTGGAAGCAGAAATAATTAAGACTAAACACAGAGAGATGTGCCAGTCAGCTGAACTGATCAAATATATTCCCTCCACTGAACAGGCAAGGCTTTTTTTCCCCTTTCCAACTCTCTGGTTCCCTTTTTCTTCTTTCTACCTCTCCTGTCCTGGCTGTGCAATTCCTGGGTTTAGCCATATGGTTCAACCTCCACCCTAGCCCTGACATTCATCAGATGCCTCTGTAAACCAGTTCAACTCACTAATCTTGCAGAAAAAAAATAAGACCATGGGTTTTTTTTTCCCAAGTTTTCTATAAGGCTAATGAACAGGCTGATGAAGGTGACTTGAGTCTGCAGAGGACATGCAGCAGAAGGAAGAGATAGTGGGTGAAGGCAAGGCAGGACTCCATCCCAAGTGGGCCATGGCACACTGGAACTACTTTTATCTTCACTCCAGGTCATCATCCTACTGGAAGCAGAATCCAGGTAATTTTACTGCATTCTCATAGTTTACCACTGTTTCAGTCACTTTTATATTGCACGTTTAAGACTTTCAAGCAAACAGACTGGTTAGAACAAAGGAAAAAGAAAGGACAGCGCTTACTGCAAATACCGATGAAAGTGTGACACCGAGAGAGTCTGAACCCACAGCCCGTTAATTCCCCTACACAAAAGCCAGCAGGACCAAGCCTGTGTGCAGTCAGAAAGCTGTGCTTTAGACAGCAGTGTTCGGGGCAGAAGAATCAGGATCAAAAGTTGCCATGTCAACACACCAGCACTGAACTGCCAGGGAAACAGCACATAACACATGTTCACATCTGGGGAAAAAAGCCTCAGCTTTAGCTCCATTAAACATTGCAACGGGAATACACTGAGTAGAATAATTATGCAGGAGTATTATATTTTGTCTGTAGCTTTTTACATGTGTTGTTTCTTAGACATACAACATCATCTTATCAGATAACACATTTATAATCTTCACAGCTGTTAAGCTTGGTGGCTGCAAATTAACAGACAGTCCCAACACACGAAAGTCCAGAAGGGAAAAGTCCCCACACACACCCCCAGAAGAAGGAAGTTCTGATGATAGCTGGTAAAAAAAGGGAGATGAATGAAGGGGACTAAGGGACAAGCCTGAAACACTTATTTTACATGTGCTGTTGCAATGTGCAAGGCATTTCTGTTCAAGGAAAAAAAAAAAAAAAAAAGGAACATCATAAAGCAAAGACAAAAAATCATTTTTAATGTGGTAAAAGTCCAGATCAAACATCTGACTGGGCCTGGGACACCTTCACCTAAAAACACAGCTTTCAGCACCAACACGCAAAAAATAGAGCCTAGAAAAAGAAGTTAAAAACACATATCAAGAAAATATTTCCAAGTGGAGAAGGAGGCAGTATAAATGTCTCTTGCAAAATGGGATGAAATAATTTCTATAGGCAACTCTTGGATAGTAAGTTCCCAGTGCCGCAGATACTCTAAGCTAAGAGCTGAAAAAAACAGAAAGTGTTAAAGAAGCTGCATTCAGTAATACACTAGAGAAGACAAAGTAAGGAACTGGGGTGTCAATGAAAGATCATTATACTGTATGGTTATGTACTGTGTATACACATGTAAGCATATTGTATATAAGCATGTTTGATCTACCTTGTTTGTTTTTTCTCCATTTAATATAATACTTCAGAATAAAACAAGTGACCAATGCTTGCAAGCAGAGCAAATGAGCTCATAGCAGCAGAAAGGTTAGTTTAATTTTCCAGGTTTCTCAGTGATGACTTGAGCAGGTGTTCTAGTAGTGTCCCTTTCAACCTGCACCTGGCCTGTGCTGCTGCCAGCCAAACTCTAGCAGAAGGATTATGCAAAGGAAGGCAAGGCCAAATGACCATGATGGGATTTCCCTATCTCTGCTACCCATATACATTTGTATTTTCCCACCTGGAACATCTGATTTTGTTGGTGCCTGTGGTTCAGTAGAAAAATTAGAAAAAACAAGTTATGTTTTTGCATTTCCCATTGACTTGTGGTGTGACTGGACTGTATCATGTCACCTCTCTAGGTTTCAAGTTCCAGACATGCAGGGTATCTTACAAAGGCCACGAGAGAGAAGTCTACACAGGAAGACTCTTCACATTGATATTTCATAAGGAAACACATTTGAGCCTAAATGAAGACCCTAGATAAGAAAGCACCAGAAGTTTAAAGCCTTCACTGAGCTTCACAGCTCAAGACCAGTCTGCCCTAAGCAACCTCCAGTCTCTCCAACCTCTGCTCAAAGCCATTCTTGTGTGCTAGGGTAAACACTGCTTCAATATCACAATAACATACATTTACAACAATATGGAATAGAAGAAAAAAAAAAAAGCGGAAGGGGAAGAATATGAAGAAATGTGTTTCAGCATGGCTTTTAGGTTGCTGTTAAGTCTTTAACAATCAACAAGGCAGAAAGTCTTGTGGTCACACAAAAGCCTGGAAAAGGATTCCTGGCTTCAGCTTAGCAACTGATTCATTACATGGCTCAGCGAGTGATTTAACATCTTTATGTCTCTGTTTACTTCCATGTATAAAAGCAGCTGTAACAACCTTTGTTATGGTTTGTAAAGGTTAATCACCTTATCAGGCACAATCCTGATTATATAGGATTGTAAGTCACAAAGTACAGTTAGCTCAATTTACTTATTTGCAGTTTGCTCATTTTATTCCCTACTTGCATCTGGTTTGGTCAGGAAATAAAGCCCTACGATGTGCAGTACAAAGTCAAAGACTGATTATGTGAAATATCATGAAGCAATGAAGAGACACAACCAAAGAACAATAGGGAAGCAAGAAGTCTGGCTAGCATCTCCCAAGAAGCTTAAAGGTCTGTAAATACATTTTCAGCTGGAACAGGGCA